AGCTACTTCTGTTGAAGGTTAAACTTCATAAAAGATTCTCAGGATTCTACCCACCCCCAAATCCTTTAGAGGGGCATTAACCCTATTTCCAAACTAATCTCACTGTGATTCTTTCTCTCACTGCTGCAAATAGTCAGCCACTGTGATTAAATATAATATACAACATAAACAAGATCACCAGGTGTCAGAAGAGTCATGTTTAAATTAGCATTAACCAATAAACCCTTCCCTAAGCAAAAAACAGAAAGGAAGGAAGGAAGGAAGGAAGGAAGGAAAGAAAGAAAGAAAGAAAGAAAGAAAGAAAGAAAGAAAGAAAGAAAGAAAGAAAGAAAGTAGGTTGGTTGTATGGTCAGCCCTGTGGCCGCAGAATGAGCTCAATACCCATGCTCAAAAGGCCCCAGAAGGCTCAGATACAATGCTGTAGCATCAACAATTGTTTGCCTACATTAAATTTCTCCAAAATTCAAAGAGAACTACTAATTTCGAGGGAATAGGAGAGTGTAAATTCATATACTAGTTTATTTTAAAATCTCAATATAATAAAACTGAATAAACTGGCAACCAAGTTCGAGAGCACACTCATCCCTCAATCATTGCATCCTCCCTCTGATCCAAAATACGTTACTCCGTTTCTTCTTGCATCTTGAGGTCAAATAATACTCCCCCTCCCGCCATGTAGCACACATCCTTGAAATGGCATCCACGTTTTCCTATAATTGACCACCTTACAACTTTCAGCTTTCAACACTGGGGCTTCTGACTATGTCCACCTCCAGAGAATAAGTCTTCAATCTCCCACCGCACATCTCTAAAGAGATCCTTCAAGTTGTGTGTGAATGTCTGCCAAAGTCGGAACTTAACTTTCCATTCCTCAGCAGGCCAAGGTTCTGACACCTCACAATTGCCCCACAATTAGGCTCTGTGACACATATCCATGCCTATTCAGGATAAAAGGTCTGACTGAAACATACAATGAACATATGACATGAGGTTTTTTATTTATTACAGTAAAATATTTCCCCTCAATTCCAACACACTTATCCCTTTATTCTTGCCAATTTCTAAAACAATTCTAGAAGTCCTCTTTTGTGAATGTCTTTAGTTGTATTGTCATGGCTACCTAGATGTCCTGAATCAATTAAAAACATTTACCTTTCATGGCCATTTGGACTTTGGAGAAGATACAGAAGCCTCTTGGGGCCAAATACCATGAATAAGGTGGAGCAGGCCACCTCACAGTGTTTTTAGAAACCTGCCTTTCCGGCTGGATAGCACTCAGCAGCAGCATTCACTGTATTTTTTGGTCGCACGTCCTGAAGAAACTCACAAAAGAAGACTTGCAGAACTGCTTCAGAAGTGGCAAAAATGATTGGAAAGTATGTCTGATTCAAAGGGGAAAATTGGGGAGGAAGGGTAATACAATGTCTTTATTGTAATACATTTTTAAATGTAAATATTAACTATATATTTCTTTTTTGGACTGTATATTTCTATCACACCTTGTATACTACACTTAGCTGCATCTTTCCCCTGGTTTGCAGCTCTTTCCAAAACTTTTCATCATCCTTGCATCTGTTACAATAGAAAGAACCCGACGCCTACTTATCAAATTAAAAATTTCCTCTTTTCCCTACTAAGATCTTTAATAGCTCAGCATGAGATACTTAAATAACACAATAGGCACACTAGGAGCAACATGATTTGTAAAAAGTGAGAAACCAAACAATAATAAAGTGCTGATTTAACAAGCCAGAGCAGACTTCAAGACTAAACCAAGAGTTTATGCTTGAATTTTTAATAGATTGCACTTTATTTTTAAAATAAATCATATTCCTTAAGTGTGAGGGCAGACTGATGCCAAAAAGAAAGAAAGAAGAATGAATGGATGGAGAAAGGAAAGGAAGAAGAGAAGAAATGAGAGAAGGAAAAAAAGAAGGGAAGGGAAGAGAAGAGGGAGAGGGGAGGGGGAAGGGGAAATTAAAGAGCAGTAAGACAGATCACACACTAAGCAAAAAGATTAAAAAGCAAAGTCAAATTTAATTTCAAAAGTGCTGTGATTTGGTGAATATTGAAGCTTCCCAGAGAAAATGATACAGTGTATTCTGCCCAGATTGGGACTTTTCTTACCAAGTATTTTAAATTATCTTGTCCCCCAAAATCACTAACTTCAAACAGAATGTCACTGAGTATCAAAAAGACTTAGCAATTGAGATTACTTTTGAATGTTCCAAGAGATGGAATAGTAGATTTAATAAAAGTTTAAAAAGTCGATGGCATAATTTGGGGGATGAAATCAATTTACATTTTGGAAAATATTAGCTTTAAATGAAAGCAAGTTTCAAAAGGGCTGTCACTTACATTGCCACTTCGTAGGTTTTTTGCCCGTTTCTCAAAGGGACACTGGGAGTACACAAGGTGTCCACACCTCTGGGCAGCAGCTGTTTCCTGAAGAAGATGTAAATCTCAACTTGGTCCAGGATACCTAGCAAAGGTCAGACGACACGGATCACCTTGACCTCGTGTCAAATTTAAGGCCAAGCAGGCGCAAGTGTTAAGAAGAGGAGCAGGAGACTTGTCAGAGGAAAGGAAAGTATTATTGACTCCCTTGTGCAGGACGAGAGGCACAAAGAAAAGAAACAAACAGAAGAAATCAATTCCCTGACTGCTCGTTCTTTCTCCTCCAGACATCCCGTTGGAGGATGTTGGAATTTTTCCATCTTATTTTTTTGGCTCTGTTGTCCTATTTCCCTTTCCTTTTCTTCCTTTCTACTGTTCTATCACAGCAAACCATCCACCAGCTTCTAGTAATTGAAGAACTGGAAAGAAAGAACAGTAAAAATTATCAAAAGTCTCCATTATCCAGATGAGGACACCGAGACCAGCAGCTGACCCGAAAGACGAAGGTTGCACCGCTAGGGGACGCTGTGCGCAAGGGGCCGGGTTCCTGACAACCCACTCTTCCAGCCTAGCTACTAGATCTCAGGAGGCCATTCTCTTATGTATTTAGTCCCAAAGTACATGGAATCAAGAAAAAAAAATCACTGTTAATAATGTATTTTGGAAAATCAAGGGCAAAAGCAAGTAGGTGACGTGTGTGTGTGTGTGTGTGTGTGTGTGTGTGTGTGTGTGTTTGAACGCAGTTTTAGTTTGGTTCCCAAAACTGGAGGTCTAATACATATTCCTTTTCCTTGGCTTTCATCTCATCTGACGAGGGAATAATTTCTGAACAAGAAGTTAGCCGTTTTCCAAGGGCTGAGCCTCCCTTTAACCAGAACTGCAAGCTTTGATTCAAAGACTTTGGCTTCACAGTTAGACTGGCTGAGCAAAGGATGGCTATGCAAAAAGTGAAAACAGACTGTTAAGAACCAGAGGAATAGAGGATTTTGCTTTAATAACTAGTTAAGTTTTCAATATGTAAGTTTACCAATGGGAATCTACTCCAATAGGAAAGAAGACATTCATAGTGGAACTTTCACAAGTCAGCATGCAACTGGAAACCCACATTTACGAAAAAATCCAGAGATTTCATCAAAAAGGAAAAGAAAGAAGCAGCAGCAAAGAGCAACAACCTCAGGCCCCACATTTGGAGGCACTAACAAGTCCTTGATGCCACGACTCTTAAACATCAAAGGCTAAATAAAGGGCAGACAGCAAAGAAAAACCGAGAAGAAAGTTTAAATTATTCCCAACAAATTAGTCCCGCAGGAGTCCAAGGAGTCCATCCATTCAAAGCCATCAATGCAAAGCCAGGTCCCTCCCTTGACTTGCACTCCCGGGTACTTGCTAAGCGTGTTCGGCAGTTGCACAGAAACTGAAAAGTCGTCAGCCCTCGGATGCCAGAGCTGCCAGCGATAAGCCAGCTGTACCGGAGCCCTGCGCTCCCGGGACGTCCCGCCGTTCACGTCCCCCGGGACGCGGCACTTCGCTAGCCCTCCCGCTCCCCACCAGACCCGGGTACTCAGAAGCCACCTACGTGTCACTCGGGTGGGCCCCGAGGCTCACTGACCTGGCCAGGGGACAGCAGGGCCGGTGGCCCCGGAGGCTGCGACAACTTCCCTGGCAGGGCTGGGTCCACCGGTTGGTGAGGAAGGCGAGGAGAGCCTCGCTCCCGCAGGCCGCCTCGCACGCGCGCACACCCACTCGGCGGAGCAGGGCGCGCGCTCACTCTCGCACTCGCACCCGCACCGGCGCGCGCGCACGGCCACAAAGCAGCCTGCGGTGGGACCGGGCGGTGGAGCGCCGCGCTGGGATGCCGCGCCGTCTCCGCGGCGGCCACTGGCTGCGCGCCCAAGGGCGCCTCCCGAGCCGCGCCCGCCCCTTTACCTGCGCCCGCCGCTGCCGCCGAGGGTCCCGCTGCGCACCCCGGGCTGGCTTCGGGCGGCCCCCGCCCCGGGCTTGCGGAACGCGGCCCCCCGCCTGCCCCTGGGCGGTCGCCCAGAGCTGGGCCGCCCACCCCGCCGAGGTCCCGGGCTTGGCCGGGAAGCCGAAGAGGGCTCCGCCGGGTCGGGCAGCCCAAATCCGAGAAGCGACCGGCAGGGCGAGCCACGACTGGAGAAGCGCCGCCGCCGCCTGGTCCCTTCGGCTCCGGCTGCCGCGAGTTGGCAGCGCAGCGGCGGCCAGGGAGGGGGCGCGAGGGAGGGCCGAGCAGGCAGCACAGACGCCAACCGCCTTTCTTCTTCTCCGCCTTTCTTTTCTGCTTGCTCCACGTAGCACAAGTCCAGCTCCTGCACCCCGGACTCCCTCCCTAGCTGGCCCCTTACCTGTGTGGCGCCCCCAGCCCCCCGGCCTCTGCGCTCCCCTCCCCCATTCATTGGCTGGACTTCCCGCCGCGGCTGCAGGTCGCCAGGCGTAGGGGAGCTGGTGGAGGTGGGGGCGCGCTAAGCCTCCCATTCATTATCTTACCGACTCTCTTCTTCCCCTACACACAGCCGAGATCAGACACACGCACCGCGGAACAGTGGCCGTGTTTTCGCCACCACCCCCACCCCTCCTGCTCTCACCCTTGGTCGCCACAGCTTTGTGGGATTCCGGTGAGCTCCCCCTCACGTTGCATTTTCATTTTATCACGTTTCTCTTTCCCACTTGAAACACTCTGGGAAACATGGTGGGGCCCGCAAAACTTTCGGAGCAGTTTTGGCGCAGTTTCCAAACTTTCCAGAAGTTGCAAAGTTTCTCCCATCGCAGTCTAGATTGGAGGCTGCTATAAAGGTGTGTGTTCTGGTTCTGATTTATCAACTGACATGAGCTGCACGCAGATCAAAGCAAGTGTGGCGCTCTGCTCCCCCAGTCCTCCAGATCCATGATTATAAATTTCTCTTCCGCTTTCCCAGTGAAACTTTGCAAGTGCAAACTATCAATTTTAGTGAGAGTGATTAAGGGAGGGAAAAGCACACCTGGAGGTGTGGGCGGGAGCGGAGCAGTACCAAGGCCCAGGGATCATTCTCAGGGGAGTGGCAGCGGCACGGATTTGCCAGGTCCTATAGCAACGCTCAGTCACTGGCAGTGGGGGCCTCCAGCCGCGCCTTCGCACCCACCCACTTCCCACCCCTGGCTCTCCGGGGTTTCCGCAGTGCTCAGAATTCTCTCCTCTCACTCCACCGCCTAGGCCAGCTCACAAAGCTGCTGCAGAGAGTAAAAGCTCAATCTGCTGTCGCCTGCTGTGGGACTTAGGAAGGCCAGCAGCACTGATAGAATGAACCCACCTACGAAGGGGTGGGAGGCAAGGAGGGAGGCCGCTGCATTGATACTGGTCACACTAATCTTGAGCTTTGCAGAAGAGAGGGCGCTGTGAACAGCGGTAGTAGAGAGCCGGTGTAGGATTTCTTGCACGGAATGGAAACTTTTCAAGCCTCCAGTAAGTTACAAACTGAAGAGACCATGACCATTTCCTGCCAGTGACTGCTCAGAACCTTGACCCAGCCCAAGTGGTTTTCACAGGATACTCAAGGCTTGAGCCCTGACTGCTGGTCATTTACCAAAATGTTTCCTTTTTAAAATAAACTCTGGAAGACTCTGCTTTCTCTCTTTTCCTACAATTTATTATTTATTTTATAATAGCGTACTGAAAATGTGAAAACATAAAGTTGTAATATATGCACAGTGCTAATACACTCATGCATAGGACAACTATGATTTGTGCAGTTATGCAGACATGTATAGTATGAGGTGTGATTATAATATATGGTGAATGTTTAAGTAAAAAAAGATACAACATTTGTTGTATTTTACACTCCCCCCCCCCCCCCCCCCCGCCTAAGCCTACCCCCTTGCTTCAAACAAGTTATCCCACCATCTGGAGCAGTTATGGAAATCCTCTGTCGTGCCTTTATGAGATGTGTGCAAACCCATGGTGCTACTGCTAAGTACCATCCAGTGGAGAAGTAATCTCATAAAAACACTAAAATGTGTTCTTACATACTTTATTCAGTAGATCTGGCACCATGCAATGGCTGTCTCTTTCCCCAAAGTGAAAATGATCATGAAAAGTTATGAATAATTCTCCACATCAACACAGGTTAGCAATGGAAGCACTCACGAAAGAGGACTTCCAAAACTGCTTCAGAAAGTGGCAGGAACCACAACATAAGCAAAGAGGAGTATTTTACCTTAATCATTTTTTACCTTAATCTTTTACCGTATCATTTTTCATTTAAATATTCATGGTGTTTTTACCATACCTTATATTTAAAAGGAAAGAAGAATGTAGTAAAAAGGGCTGTTGTTTTTAAACTATGACACCATTCAGTTTTTTAAAAATCACCTAACACCCAATTTCCCTTTCCCTCCCATACCACACACTCCACTTGTTAGATTTCTCAATACCAATACTTCCATATCTAATGAAAAGAATATTTTAAATAAGTTATTTTCATGATTAGTCTTTCCTCATAAATTCAAGGCATAGTACTAATGAGTCTCTTACCTACCACTTAGCACTCAGCACTCAGATTGAATATTTTAATATATTGATCTTTATCTCTTGCCTTCTTGAAGAATGCAGTTGCTTCTACTTTGACTAAATATTAAATACCTTTACTCTGGGATCCTTGCTGATATCCAGTGTGAAGTCTCTTCCTACTAGGTGTATTCAAGGGTAAAATAGGGGTGGGAAGTACCTCAGTACAAGGTCCTGGTCCAATTGCCACCACTAGGGAAAAAACATTTTCATTAGATAAAATGGTAGAATAAGTGATTTGGCATAAAACAGTTTCCTTCCTCTTTATTTGACCTACTGAAAAAACACAATAAAGTGCTACCTGTGGGGAACAAAATAAAAGTCTACCTGGACAGACCTGTCTTCCTGACAAGCATGGGCCTGTAGGAATGAGGCTGCTTCAACAGCCAGCTTTAGGTCAGTAACTTTAAAATCAAAAGCAGACTGTACATCCAGTACGAAAGGAGAGAGAAAATGAGATACAAGACAGACCTGAGTTCAGCACATAGATTAGCCCATCAAAGCTTGGTATGATGTTTCAAAATAACTGGTTTTCTCATCTGGAAAATAGGATGATAATACAGCACACTTTACTTCATAAGATACCAAGTTGTTTTCATAAAAGTAAGATGACTATGGATGGGCTTCATGATGATGTTGTTTCTATGGAAATGAAGGAGAGGATACCTTGATAGTCTTTCCTTAATGTTGTCACCTGTCTGAAGCCCTCTTACTCAAACTTATTTCTTTTCTTGAGCAGTCATATCTCCTGTCCTTTGCCAGGCAATATTTCTATAGATTTGCTTCTCTGAACGACTCCAAAAAGCCAAAAACAGCTGTCGCTATCAAACATTAGAAAAAATATTCTCAGAAACATAAATTTTTAATGATGGCTACTCAGGTGGAGATTTTGCACCCATACCTTAAAGGGCACTATAGACTTCATCAGATTGTTGATGTCATCTGCAGATCTAAAGACTGTAATTTGAGAAGTATTTGGTTGGAATTGAAAAATTAGCTGTCATTTCCCTTGAAACTATTTATTACTTGTTCAAAAAGGGTTTGCCAGTCTTGCCAGTGCTTTCTTCCTCCCTCTGTTTCCTTTTTTCTGTCAAAATGCCTTTGAGATTTTCTAGCAGAGAGCAATCAAAACTATCAGCACAAAGATCTGTTGGAAATTTTCCTTCTAGGCTATTAATGTAGACACTGATTCAAAGAACATATTTTGGAAAAACAATACCCTGAGAGAATTCAGCTTGTTTGAGAGAGGGTTTCAGATGCCTTGGGGGCGCAGATTTCTTCCTTCTGAAAATGATGCATTTGGCTGTTCAGGTGTTTTTCCCTTAAACTAAAACCATTTTCCTTTCTATTTTAAAGGGCCACCCAATTCTATAAAAAAAAAAAAAAAATAGCTCTCTTCAGAGGAGAAATGGCACAAGATTATTTCAGGAGTGAGGAATTGAAGTTGAGTCTGTTCCTGGTATAAGTACAAGATTACAATGAAGTCAAAGTCTGAAGCAGTCCCTTTTTTTATCGCATATATCTGCATGAATAATCTAGGCAATGTTGGAAGTGGACCAAAGGCTAGCCAATCCTTTCTCTGCAGTGTCCTTTTTGCAGGTAAAAGGCTCAGCTCTAAACATTGGGAGAAAAAGAAATTGAAAAAAGATTATATATATATATATATATATATATATATATGTGCAATTAGAGCTAAAACTAGACCTACATACAAAGAAATGGTAAAAAAGCCAACAAAACAAAAATGCTAATTCTACAAAACAATAAAAAAGTACATGCATTTCTGGTAAAAACTAACAATGAGAAAAGAAAAGAAAGAAGACTAAGAATGTGGAAATTCTAACTACAGTTTTAGTAGAATTTTTAGTAGAATTTTTGACAACATTTAAAGTCTTAAAATAAATAAAAAATATATTGTAAAATATAATGATTCAAAATAAACATGTATATTTAAAACTATTAAACAATTTGAATTTTTGTTTTGCTTTTTTATAGTATTTCACTCATTACTGAACATATCCTGAGTCCTTTTTAAAAATTTTATTTTGAAATTGCCCAGACTAATTTTGAAATAGCAATCCTCCTGCCTCACCCTTCCAGATAGCTTGGATTATAAGTACATTCCACCATACCCAAACATTTGAATTCTTATTTCTAAATTCAACCACAAAATTTCCAAATCATGGTAGGCAAAGAACCTATCTTGAAAGAGATTCAAAGAACAGAAAAAGAAGAAATGTACTCCAATAATTTTGAGCTACTAAAATCCAGATACCAAAATAAGGAAAGGAACCAAAAAAAGAAAATAATAGGCCAAGAATAAAATTGTAATTCTACATACAATATTATCAAACCAGTCAAAAAAGTTTTTAATGAAATATAATATTAAGCATTTTTGCATATAATTAATGTAAGAATAGTTTAATATTAGAAAATACAAATTGATTCTCCTCTCATTTATTTTTTTATCCTAATGAATAGGAATAGGAATTTCTTGTACATAGTAAAGAGCTGTTACCAAAATCTAATGCTAAAAGCATTATGTTACCTGGCAATCCATTAAATATTTTTCTCCCAAAAGTTAATAACAAAACAAAGATCTTTTTCCATACATACTCAACAATACTGTATTGAAACCCCTTGATAATAAAATAAAACAAGAAAAAATTAGATGGTTTAAGGTTTAGAAAACAAGAATATGATTTATGGATGATATAGTTACTTGAGAAATTCAAAGCAAGTTAAAGTATGCAAATAGAGTTAAGTAACACTGTAAATATAAGATCAATATGTCAAAAAGCCACTGTCCATTAACAATAATTTTTTAAAATCCTTGTAATAGTAACACATCTCCATTAAATGTGGACCAAAGTTAATCAAAAGTTACAGAGTCTACATGAAGAAAAATTTTAGTATTACTGAAATACATTTTTATAACCTAGATACACCATTTTTGTGAGTGAAAAAATTCCATATACATACACATTGCAATCTGTTCAGAATTGCAATAAGATTCTTCATAGACACTGACAAGATAGTTCAAAGTCCATATAAACAATGATACCTACTCAAAATGCAATAAGATGGTTCATAGACATTGATAAGGTGATTATAAAATTTATGTGGGAATATAAGAGGTTAAGAACACCAAGAGAATTCTTGACATGCAAAATTAGTACTGTGACTGATAAATAATGTGACAACGGAGAACAGAAGGATTAGAAACAGAACTGCATATAAATGATCAATTAGTGCAAACTAATGCACACAGGATATTCTTTTTAATAAACAATGCTGAGAATATAAGCACTCCACACAGAGGGGAAAAATTAGATCCTTAACTTACACCATTTAAAAAAAATGTTAACAAATTAAATGAAACTTACAAAGTGAAACGTCCATATATTTACAATATCTTTATCAGTCTAGGGCAGTGAATAATCCTGTACACAAGATATAAAAAGCACAAATGACA